AGAGACAATACAATAAGTGTCAGGGGCCCGAGACTGTTCAACTGCCTCCCAGCATACATAAGGGGGATTACCAATAGACCCCTGGCAGTCTTCAAGCTGGCACTGGACAAGGACCTAATGTCGGTACCTGACCAGCCGGGCTGTGGCTCGTACGTTGGATTGCGTGCAGCCAGCAGTAACAACCTGGTTGATCAGGCTCTGCTCCACCAGGAGGCCTGGTCACAGACCGGGCCGCGGGGGCGTTGACCCCCGGAACTCTCTACAGGTAAACTCCAGGTAGTTAATCTGATGGATTACATGAGAACTGAAAAGTCGATAGGGAACCTCGTAGGAATGGTAACCTTAGACTTGCAAAAGGCCTTTGATACTGTCAACCACAATATTGAAGCAATATTTCCCATAAGAAATAATGTAAATCTAATTAATCCATTCCAGACACCCAAAAGTATTAACAAAAAATACATTTTACAGAGAATAACTATATTTTTACATACAGAAAATAATGAGAAATATAAAGGACTAATGAAATGAATAAATGAACATTTAACATCACCTTTATGTTTATTGAAAAATCTTGTTGGTGTATGGAAGATGGCGAGGAGGGGAAAGGAAGTAGAGGTGATCTCTACCACCATCACTTCCACTCTCTATCACAATCACTACTAACCTCTACCACCATCACAACCACCATCACTACCACCCTCTACCACCATCACTACCACCCTCTACCACCATCACTACCACCCTCTACCACCATCACTACCACCCTCTACCACCTGCACTACCACCCTCTACCACCATCACTACAACCCTCTACCAACAAGAAACAACGCCAGACTGACTCAGAACGCATGGGATGCTTTGTGTGGGCGTGGGCAGACACGTTCGGTACTGCGGACCACTGTCAATTCAACGAAAACAGGTGATGAATGAAAACTGGGACAAAATTTTGACAAAAAAAGTCGTCGAAAACCAAATTTGACAAAAACCAGTGCAAACGAAAACCAAGGTTCCACTGTATTATGTAAGAAACTTCAAGCTATCGGCATAGGTTCCATAGACTGGTTTAAGTCCTATCTTAGGAACAGGAACCAAATTGTCAAAATCAACAAAACAGAATCAGAACCCCTGCCAATAGCATGTGGAGTTCCCCAGGGTAGTATTAATCCAATGTTATGTAAACGACATGTGCATCAGTGTCAAATGCAAACTCCTGCTGTATGAGGATGACAGTGCTCTGTTAGTGTTAAGTAAAGACCCGCAAGATATAGCTAATGTAATAACACTGGAACTGGAGTCCTGCAGCAAATCATTACACCTCGGGGAAACGGAAGCCATGCTCTTTGGCATGAAACATAAACTGAGAATGGTAAATAATTTTAATGTCTGGTGTAATGGGAACCCATTACTTCAGTTTCCTCTGTAAAATATCTGGGAATCCCCTTTGACCCATGCATGTGAGGAGAATTGATAGGGAACAGTGTAGTAAAGAAAGCAAATGCCAGTCTGAAGTTCCTCTACAGACAAGTATAGTGTCTACCTACTGAGGCTCACAGGACCCTATGTCTAACCCTACAATGTCATGTGGACTACGTTTGTTATTCATGGTACTCTGCCTTGACAAAAAATACTGAAAGATAGACTGCAAATCACCCAGAACAAAATGGTAAGATTTATCCTGGACCTGGGTCCAAGAGAGCATGTAGGCCAGTATGAATTACAGCAGTTGGATATGCTGAATGTTGAAGACAGAGTAAAACAACTGAAGTTAAATCAAGTTTATAAATTGCTCTGGGAACCAAAGCAATTAAAGTACTAGAGGGAGAGAGCACAGCTTTGTAGTACCCACAGTAAGTGGCTAAGCTTCAAACACCTTTTATTGTACAGCAATTCAATTCAATTCAAGTTTATTCTCTATAAGGGTTACAATGTGGGGTTTACAGGTTTTGGGTATTGTGTGGTTTACATGTTAAAAAATACTAATTACAGAGGGGGGCCACTAGGACACCTAGCATGGCTAGGCATTTCGAGCAGACTTAGATTAATTCTTAACATTAAATCCTTACAGATTATGGTATTAAGGCTAAGTGACTACATCATAATTTGTGAGTTTAGCAATGTGAATGCTTTTGTTTTGGCACAATACAAAGTGTCTATATTGGAGTATCATAAGCAAATTTTATGACTAGTTAGGATTTTTTATTTTAAGATTAAGATTAGTATTTCTTGGTTTATAGTCAGTGGGTGAGTGAGTGCTTTTGTGAACCACCAGGTGGTTATCATGTAGTTAGTTGTTGGGGTGGATCAGGGAGATAAGATGTTTTTTTTCTAACTGTAGTTTTGAAAGTGATGAATGTGTCTGAAGTTCTAGTGTTTTCAGGTAGGGTGTTCCAGATTTTTAGGTCCTTTGAAATACATTGAATTTTTGTGTAAGGTTTAGTCGAACCGGGGAATGTCATAGAGATGTCTGGTGTCTGGTGTTATGCCTGTGGATCCTGTCAAACTATCAAGAAAGCATTTTGGGTAAAGGTTAATTTGGAATTTAAGGTCCTGTAGATATAGATTGCACATTTAAAGTAAGTGTGGATGTTCTGAACAGGGAGTAAGTTTTAGATCTATAAAGAGTGGGGGGGTGTGTTCCCAGGGATGGGTTTTAGTGATTATTCTTACTGGGGGCTTTTGTTGGGTTATTATTGGCTTTAGGTGTGTTGCTGCAGTTGAACCCCAAGACATAACATAGGTGGAGGTAAGGATATATAAGTGAATGGTATGTGTGAGAAGGGCAGTTTGCGGCACGTATATCGTATCTTGGAGAGGATCCCCACCGATTTGGATACTTTTTTGTTTGTTATGTGCTGGATATGGGTGCTGAAATTTAGGTTGTTGTCGAGGTATAGGCCTAGGAATTTGCCCTCATTATACTGGCAATTAGAGTGTTGTCGTCTTAAGTTAAGTTGCGCAAACCTGCTCTGCTACTAAACATAATAAGTAGGTTTTGCAGTGTTAAGTGTAAGTTTATTGGGGTGTCATCCCCAAATCGATATTTTGAGCAGCTCCCTCATTAAAAAATGGTGTTGAGGGTGGCAAGTTTTGGGTGGGAGATGACATTTAAATCGTGTTGTCAGCAAAGAGAATGGGTTTCAGGTGTTGGGATATGTTTGGAAGATCATTGATGTAAATGAGGAAAGAGCAGGGGTCCAAGGACACTTCCCTGCGGGGAAAATCCAGTATCAATGGCCGTATTGATGAGGCTGTCTTTTTAATGGTGATTTTACTGATACCTATTAGAAAGGTAGGATTTAAAATGTGCAAGCGATGGCCTCTCTTACCATAGTGGTCAAGTTTTGGGGATGATGCCCTGGGTCTACTGTGTCAAATGCTTTTCTTAGGTCAATAAAAATTCCTAGCGGATATTCCTTATTTTCCAATGCTGTGTAAAGCAGGTCTAGCATTTTTATAATTGCATCATTAGTGCTTTTATTTTTCCTGAATCCAAATTGGCAGGGGTTGAGTATGTTTTGTGACGTTGTAAATGAATATAGTCTCCTGTGCACGAATTTTTCGAAGATTTTGGATAGCAATGGTAAGTTTGATATTGGCCTATAGTTGTTTACGTCTGTAGGGTCACCACATTTATGTATTGGTGTAACCCTTGCTGTCTTGAGTAGTGTCGGAAAAGTGCTAGGTTCTAGTGACTTGTTAAAAAGTAATGAGATAGCATGCGAAAGGACATGGGCCGCTCGACGTGAGACAGATTCCTTGAGTTATTTTTAAGTGACTTTATGATCGCGGTGACTTCCGTGGGCTCAGTTGGTACAAGATAGAGGGAATTTGGGAAATTCCCATCTAGGTAGTCCCCAGCACGGGCATTGGTACATGGGATTTTACTGGCGAGATTAGATCCTATGTTTGAGAAGAATTCGTTTATCTTGTTAGCTGTATCAGTGGGATGCAGTGGTGTTTCATGAGGTTTAGTTAGAACAATATTCTTGTTTTTTTTCAGTTTGTGGGTCCCCGGAATCTGGGAAAGTGTTTTCCAGGTCTTTTTTATATCTCCTCTTGTGTCAGTGAATCTGCTTTAGTACACTTGTTTGGCTTTCTTTAATAATTTGGTGAGAACTGTTGAATATTGTTTAAGAATATCTGTGTATTAAGCCCTGTCTATATTGCTTTTCATATTGGTGTTTCTTATCAATGGATTTCAGAATGCTGCTGGTTAGCCATGGGCAACCGAGCCGTTTATTCATGATCTGTTTCGTTTTTATAGGACAATGTTTGTTGTATAGTCTAAGTATTTTGTTAAGAAAAATGTCTGTCCAATCGTCAATACCATTGGCATTGGAGAATTCTGTAGGCCAGTCAACAGTCTCTAGGTCTTCTGTGAAATTCCTTATTGAGGCCTCGTCATTGAGTCTAAATGAAACTTTGTTGTATTCGAGTGGTGGCTTACTAATGTTTGTTAAGAGGAAGGTTGGGTAGTGGTCAGTAGTGCTGTCTGTGATTATTCCTGATTTGAGGGGGACTAGTATAATGGTCCATATGTGGTCTATTATGGTTGCACTTGTCTCAGACTGCCTGCACATGTCAAAGCCAATCATAACATGAACCAGTTCAAAAAGAGAGCCGAAAGGTGCCTAATGAATGTAGCAACAGAAAGGGAGGAGAATGATCTTTTATTATTTTTTATTATTATTATTTTATTATTTTTTTATTGAACAACCATGGTGACATCACACATCCTTGTCTAAGGCCTACTCTTACTGGGAAATATTCTCCCTCTCTCCAACATACTCTAACCTGAGCCTCACTAAAACAAAATTCAGTACAATTATGATACCTCTGTGGGGGCTTTAGCCTCCTTAACCCCTCATTGGCTGCATCACTGAGCTTAATTCTTGAAGAAATGACACATCTTTCAATGTCTTTTCTTCAGTATTGTTGACAACATGCAATTTTAAATCCAACCAAAATTTATTAATATATCATTTTTCTGGCTTCAGTTGACAACTTACACAAGTTTGATGGATGTTAACCGAGGCAATTTAGGTGCCTGGCTTCGCACCTGTGAAGATCCATGCTGGCCTTGGTAGAGCATCACCTTCATTTGTGTTGACCCTGGTAGAGTATCACTCTGGGGAATAGAAACCTTTGATGATCATTCAGACAGTTTGCACTGAAAGAATTATATTATTAAAAATAATTCACTAGTTAAGAACTGTGATTTAAGCATCTATTATCACATTTAAACATTAATTTTTTTTTTATCAAATTTTTTTAAATTTGGAAAAAGTTAATTATTTTAATTATCTTATTTTAGGAAAAGCACTAAACCCATAGAGGTCATACAGGGGAGTGAGAAGCAATTGTAGTTTGATCAAAAAGGAGAGTAGCTCCAGTTCCCTGGATCAAGAGTTTGTCAATAACATCAAAGTATCTCTCAAAGGAAATCATAGTTATGATTTTTTGTAAAAAAAAAAAATAAGCAACACCCTCACACCTTGTTGGCGAGGGACTCTTAATCCAAAACCGTGGACCTATTTTTCCTTTTCTTGGAACAAACCTGATGCCTCTTATTTCCCACGCACTGTATGACCCCCAGGGGTTTAGCACTTCCCCTGATGTGAGAGACTACTCAAAATTCTAAAATGTGAATACTGTTTTATCCAATGAATTTTTTGAACATTTAGAGTAAAACATATGTTACATGTGAAGCAGTGTTATACGTATCAACATCAACAGGAAAACTTGATGGGTTGAAATTATAATCTTGTGTAAAAATAAGATTTAATTGTCATTTAATATTTAAAACAATGAAAAATGCTTAAGGATATATTACTGGAATTATAAGTGATTTAACTTGTATTTTCAAACTTTTCATTTTAATATTTTCATACAGGCTAAATAATTTTTACGTAAGTGCAGGAAGTGCTAGTCTATATAAAAAATAGAGCAATTTTTGTTAAGCCTTAGGATGCAATGTTTACTGTATTTAAGCAGGATTTTGCTGATATTATGGATTGTTACATGATTATCTACCTCTTTCCATGACATTGGTCTTATGGAAGATTTTGAGAAATTGCGAAGGTTTGTGGATAAATTTGGGACGGTATGTAAAAGAGGGAAATTTAAAGTAAACATAGGAATAAGCATGGTGATGAGAGTAACAAAAAATTCTAGGCAATCAAAGATTGGTCGTCAGATTGGAGGGAGAGAATATAAAGATAGCAAATGTGTTTGGTTATTTGGGAGTGGATGCATTGGCAGATACATACATATACCTATATACTGTATAGACATGTACTATACAGACATGTACTGTACAGACATGTACATATACCTACCTACATACCTGCCTACCTCTCAAACAGATTTACACACTTTATTTTTAATATGATGATCTTCTAATACAGTGGATGCAGTCAAGATCATAGGCTTTATCAGAGATAAGAATTAATGTGTAAAGTATGTATTGTTATAATGTTGCTCAAACAGTATGCTGTTTTCAGTATGAAAGATAGAACTAGCAACTCATTACTGAACTCAGATCATTATAGTCTGTCCATGAAGAGGCCTTGTCTATTAGTAATGGACTTTATCAGTTTCGGAAAATTGATGTGTATTTGTGTGATTACTCATTTTTGACTGCAGGAATAAAGTTATGCGTATGATGACCTGTTCTCAAGATTTAATTGAATCATATTATTCAAAAGTTTTAGTGGTGTTTTTACATGTTATAGTGCCTGCAAAAGAAATATTCTACTCAAATCGTTGACACCTCATGATTTTACGTTATTTTACACATAAAGATATTAATAATAGATAAAATGAAGAACTGAAAACTGACTTCATTCTTTGAATCTAATGTTGGTTTATTGCATGTTAAGCTTTAAGTTTTTTTTTTTTCTTCACCAAACCAGCCATATCCCACCGAGGAAGGTTGACCTAAAAAGAAAAACGAAAGTTTCTCTTTTCAAATTTTAGTAATTTATACAGGAGAAGGGGGTTACTAGCCCCTTTCAGCTTTAATTACTTATTTAATTCTTGAAGGAATGCTGTCAGAAATTTTCTTGAAATAATTGTTACCCTGTATGCTCTAATGTTCTACTCATGCCAGGGCTGAAGCAAAAGCTGTCTTTTCCAAGCAGTACTAAGCTTACAGTGCCCCATCACTGGTAGAAAAAAAAAACTGTCAAACAATCCAACAGGAAAGTTCAAAATAGGATACAAGAGTGCTCAAAATTGCAGCTTCCTAGAACGTGTTTGTTGCCTGACAAACAATCAATTTCACTAACATTGCCCATAATTTGTTTAGTGCAAGAGAATATGCCAAAACATTGAAATTAATCAATGTCTGCAGTGTTGCCATGATTTATTTTGCAGGCACTGTATCATCACCTGGATTCTCTACCAGTTATTACTTTATGTTAAGAAAAACTTTAGTATCCTTATCATGAATGTGGTAATTATATGGACTGAACAATTTGTGGAGAAAACAAGGAATACATTAACAACCCAGCCAGCTGATAAGCCCAGACAATGAACAGATAACATATGGACTGTATCTTGTTCACCAGAGAAACAGTGGAGGCAAACTATACAGTGGTTACTGTACATAACAGTTATATCACTCTTGACATTGTATGAATCTGCCACACAGATAAAGCAAGTTTTGCTTCCCTCTCCCCCCCCAAAAAAAAAAAAAAAATTGAGCACCTAAACAATCAGACACCATGAACATGGCTGTATGTACTCTGTAACTATAAATTAGTGATGAGCCACAGATATCAAAAAGCATTTCTTCAACCTAAGAGTGCCACAGAAGTAGAATGATATAAACAGGAGCTCAAAAATAGATGACTATTTTTTTCTTGTACAGATCAATTTTATAGGCTAAGAGCTGTTATCCTACCTCAGATCATTTCAAAGCCCAGCCCTATTGAAAATATACTACCATCCCCTAGAATGTGATTTCAAAATAGTCTGTCAGAATTTAATAGGGGGAGATGGAAGCTAGGGCTTAACCCCCACAAATTAAAGTAGGTAATAACACACAACTTACCAAGTTGACACACAAGTTAGTGTGCAAATTAGGGCCTCATGGGTATACCCTATTTATACTAATAAATATTAAAATTAATTTTATGCACATAATACACACAGAACATAATAATAAATATAGTGAACATATTCCTGTGTTTACATTAATGGAAATCAGTTTGAATATTTGTTAACATAAATAATATAAAGATGAGTACTGATTTGTATGTATGTCACTGTGTACATACTATGTACAGTGCAGTAGGTTGTTGTATTTGCTTGTTCTATATATATTACCTACTTATGTATTATGTGCTGCAAATTCCATGTGATAAATGCAATTAGAATTATTTTTCATTAACTCAACTTTAAAGAGTTTTGCATACACTTTGGTCTCAAAAAATAATAATATAGAATAATTTAAAGTAGGTTTATTGAGGAAATATAAAGTCATATCGTGCACTCATAGTATCTAAGCATTTAATCTAATTACTCACACCAAATATCTTGCAGTTATCAAATTACTATTGAATCAGGTCTTATAATTTAGTATGAAAAATGCAAGTGTTACCTTGGATTATATTCAGTTTTGACAAATAAGATATGTTCAACACTTCAGTATCATTCCACATTTTGGTAACATGGTAGGCTTCTTTAGTCATATACAGAAGTGACTAAAACTGGAGACAGCATAAGCAGTGGAGATGTAAAAATGATGTGATCAATCTTGAGAAATGTCCAGCTCCATGGTCTTGTCCAGTGTGATCTTGATCCATATTGATCAAGATCAAGACCATGGAGCTGGATGCTTCTCAAGGCTAAGTGTTTGATCAGTTCATCTTTACCTCTCCACTGCTTCTGCTGTTTCCAGTTTTAGTCACCTCTGTATCCAACATAAGAAGCCTACTGTGTAGGTAAAATGTTTTGGAAATAAAGATACCAGAGTGTTACACACGTGTCATATTAGTCAACCTGTCAGTACTGTATACCATTGTTGTAATGATATTAGTGTTTCCCAGTTGTTAGTACTTGAAAATTACTGTATAGTTATTCTATATAAAATTCATTGCTTATTTGTCACTACCTCTCCTGTGAGATTCCTGAACATGACATTTTTAAGCACCTTAATATATATACTGTACGTGACAAATTTGTTAGCATTTTAGTATATATACCATACATGACAAATTTGTTAGCATGTTAGTATATAACTAGTCTTTCATGCTGAATCATTAGTGATTATTGTACCTGTATATTAAGTTTATAGTGAATTTTTATAAAACTTTACTTTTGAGGGCATTATTTTTTTCATGTTGCATTTAACTTAGATATTGGAATTAATTCACTTTAGCATTGTTCCTATTGGCCACTCTTACAATTTTGCTTGTGAAGTGAAAATATTGAGACAAATATATGGTACTATGTGAATAGTCACACTGACCCCAGGGCTTGATTAATTAGGGGACTGTGGGAGCTAGAACTCTAGGAAATAGGACCATAAAAACTTAGACATTTTTTTCAGAGACATTTAAGCTTCTGTAGTAATAGTATAAATGTAATGCAGAAGGACCATGACAATTATGAATTCAAATTATTGTCATGGGGGAGTTCTGAACCCCTAGAGGTCATACAGTGCTTTGGAAATAGGAGGTAATCAGATTTGATTCAAGGAAGAGGAGAATATGTCCAATTCCTAAAATCAAGATCCCCTTGCATACATCAAGGCACCTCTTTTGAGGGGTATGAATTTATATTTTTTTTTTATTTTGAATTTCTGCTCCTTTGTGTTACTACAATTAAGTAGCATGTGTTTTACTGTTAATGGTTAGAGATGTTAACCTAGTAACACAACCAGGATTTCATACTGGGGAAGGGAGGGGGAAGGTATCTATAAGCCAGGATTTTTATATGGGGGCTAAAAGCAAGAAGTTCCAAAAATTAGTGAAATCATTTTTAAAAACATATTTTCAGTATGTGTGTGAGATTTCTCAAACTATCATATTTTTGTCATCACTAGTCAATATATTCAATATATTTCATTGAATATGAAAGTATTTGCCTCTGGAGGGCTTAAACCCCCAGACTCCAGAGGTTCAAGGGGTAGAGTTTCTAGCAGTCACTGTGTCACTGGTTGAACCTTTATACCCTCTTGCACCAAATGACACATGTTACTGTGTTTCACTAATTGATGATTTAAGCTAGTATGTGGCCTTTTGCTTTATTATTATTATTTTTTTTTTTTTTTTTTTTTTTTTTTTGTAAATTTACAGCACCAGTCTTTTTGGAGTTGGTACATTCCTAATATAAATATATTTTGATAGCTTTTCTTTAATACTTTTGGCAAACATAGATGACCTAATGGTAACAGGAATGATGTTACAGGATTATTTTTTTCCATGTACTGTAATTCAGAGATACTTGCATCACTTTTTGTGCAAAGATTTTATGATAAGGAAAATCTGGCATGGTTATAGATTTATTTTTTATCTCAACAGCTGTCTTCTGCCAAGGCAAAAATGACCCAAATATTTGGCATTATGTTATGACAGAGTTGTATTTTTTTTTTTTTTTTTTTTAGTCTGGGGATTCGATCCCTGAACCTCAGTGATGAGTTGCTCCTCTTACCACTGGGCAATGGCTGATGATGAAAGTTTATTTTTTGGGTCACCCTGTCTTGGTGGGAGACGGCTAGCACGTTAAAAGAAAAAAGTTTTAAATAATTTAGAATTTGTGATATTTCTTCTTTCAAGAAACCAGCCGTATCCCACCAAAGCAGGGTGGCCCAAAAAGACAAACGAAAGTTTCTCTTTTTAACTTTAGTAATATACATGTATACAGGAGAAGGGGGTTACTAGCCTCTTGCTTCCGGCATTTTAGTCACCTCTTACAACACGTGTGGTTTACGGAGGAAGAATTCTGTTCCACTTCCCCATGGAGAAATTTGTGATACTGTACTGAGTAATTTGAAATTAATTCACCTGTATATTTGTTTTCATAAAGTTTTTTCTGTTATAAGATTTTCATTATCCCTTATTCATTTGTTTTTATGGTTTACTGATGTTTAAAAAATATTGTGCTGTTATAGGGATTGGTGAAAACATTGCTAAGATGACTAAGCTTTATTGTTAAGAGACAAACTGCTTTTAAGAGTCACTGTGGCAAGTCACAGTTTGAGCTTGACTCTTTGCTCAGTGTCTTTAACAGGTTGCCTTTCTGATTAATGGATGTATGTGAGCTAATGCTTGCTCATGTGTTTGACTAATTTTTTAAAACCAGCTCATAAAATAAAAGCTAATTCTGGAATGAAGTCTGTGTAAATTGGTTATCAAGAGTTGCCCCACACCCACAGCATATTACACATTCATATATGCATTTTGGGCAGACTAATACTAATCCTTAAACACTACTTAAAACCAGACATAGCATATTAACATAATGTGAACACATTCAGGTTTTGATGGTTGTGAGGATTACAGATATTAATAAGATTATATTGTTTTCCATATGCTAGTGACTGAGAATATGATATAGGTTTTCACATATTTAGCTGATGTTGGGATATGTTAGGGAGAGGGTGTTTTTTAATAGTAGACTTCTTCAATGGGGGCTCCTTGACGTGGTGAAGAGGCTCTTGGTCTGAGGAATTAGACCTTTTGGTCTCCTTCCTCAGATTGAACCTAATTACCCCCCATTCCCCCCCCTACCCTATCGTATCCTCCCCATCCTCACTTTTTCCCTTTCCTCCTCCTCCCCATCCCTCCCCTATTCCCTTCCTCTTTTCGGCCTTTGGGATTCTTCCTACAGGCAATCTAGTTCCTAGGTAGGGGGAAGTTTACCAGGGTCCATCCCATTCCGTTGAGGTCCTTGGCGGTGGTGTAGCTTGCCGTGGAATCTGGATCACCTGGGGACATCCCGATCCCTCTCCGGTCTCCCGGGGGGTGGCTTTGGGTGTCTTTCGGGTGATGGGTATATCTCTGGAGGCTGCCTGTTGGATTCCAGGGGGTGGTGGCCAAAGGAGGTATGCTTTGTGGCGGGTGTCTGGCCGCCCTCTCTTTTGTCCACCGAGGTGGCTTGGTGGATGTGAGGCTGCTATCCTGGATTGCTGGTTTACTGGCTTGAAGGGTAGGGTATGGCACAGGTTCCATGCTGCATCTGCACTGTTTGCGGTGCTGAGGTCCTCTTGGGTGTGAAGGGGGATTTATGGCCCATTTTTGCCTCCTAGGAACTATTCCTCCATGTTTCCCTCGCCTTTTTTTCTTTCCTTGTTTCCTTTTTTTTTTCTAAAAAACAAACAAAGAAGTGAGCTAACCATGGAGTCCCCAATCCATGAACCTGCTCTGCTTGGGCCCCTTCTTGATACCATACCCCATTCTAACCCTGCCTTATTTTTTGACCACTCTTCGGACACTCTTAATGCCTCTGTACCTCTTGCTGGTGCTGTTTCATCACCCACTTCAGGAACTGGGGTTTCAACTGACTCCTTCAATACGTCTAACCTCCGCTCTTCTTTGACTATGCTTCAGGCCTCTCCCTCTACGGTGTGGCAAGTTTCAAATCGCCAGCCCGTCGCACATCGGACCAACTCCGGTCCCACTCCGAAACGCCCACGACAATTGCCTGATGATACAAATTCGCTTCCTTCTCGTTCTACTCAGAAAAGACCGGCATGTCACGCACTCCCTTTCCACGTTCAGTTTCAGAATGCACAATGGACTAAATTCTTTACTTTACAACCGACTTCCTCTACTGACTATCTTTCCGACCATAGTATTGGCAAGGCTCTCCTACGCCATGTTGGTAGAGATGTATCCTTTCATGCTCTCAAGAGTGGTACACGCATCATCACTGTCCAGAATGCTAACCAAGCTCATGACCCTTCTCTTCTTTCAAGTATTGATACTATTCATGTCACTATCGAAAAACATCATTCCCTCAATTCTTGTAGTGGTACTGTCATTCTGTCCCATACCATTGTCCAACAGAATTTTCAGACATGTGGCAATGACATTCTAGAACAGCTGGAACTCCAAGACCTCCCAATCCCCAAAGTAGACACTTATGTCCTCCCTGCCTGCAGGCAGAGATGATACTCTTGCAATGTAGCTTGATTAACTTTCGATTGCCGTGAACTCCCATCCTCTATTTATATAGCAGGACATCATTTACAAGTTCGAAAGGTGATCCCTACACCGCAACAGTGTAGAAATTGCTGGTGTTTTGGTCATCCAACGAAATATTGCAGGTCTATAGCCGAATGCCCAGTCTGGGGTGCCGATGACCATTCCAATACGTCTTGTAGTCTACCTCCCTCTTACCTTAATTGTCATGAGGCTCGCCCATCTTACTCACGCCGTTGCCAAGTTTACTTAAATGAGTGAGAAATCTGTTGCCTCAAAGAGGCAGAAGGTTTCCCCTATGCTATGGCAGTTTCTCATCTATGCCTTCAAGGGAGACTACCCCGTATTTTTTATTCTCCTGTTTCTAAACGTCCCCCCACCGCTGGGGTCCTGTTTTCAGCAGCCTCCTCTGTGATTACCCCTTCCATAGTCACTCCTGTCTTTAATTCTTTTGCTGTCGTTGCTCAGAAGTCCCTGCCTCAACACCTCAGTCTGTTTTCATTTCTTCATGTTCTCCCTCACAAGTTCCGGTATCGACAAGACCTCGTACAACACCACCTCCCCATCACCCCTCGTTTAACCCCTCCTTCCCTTCTTCTACCTCCACATTTTACCTTTCCAGTCTCTGTACCTGGTTCTTCACCTCTCACTGGCTCTGTTACGAGTGTGGAGGTTCACCCTCCTCCTCGTACTGTACCTTCCTCCCCTGTCCCCTCCCAAGTTTCTTCCTCTTTTGCCCCCTCCCAGGTTTCTTCCCCTTCTGTCCCCTCCCAGGTTTCTTCTCCAGTTCCCTCTACCCTTCCATCCTCCCCCCCTACTTTGATAACATAAGAACATAAGAATGTAGGAACACTGCAGAAGGCCTACTGGCCCATACGAGGCAGGTCCTTATCAAAACGACCTCTACCTAAAGCTACCCAAGAAATAACTCCCGTACCCCATGACACCAATCAAACCCAGCCCTCCCACTCGTATATCTGCCCCGGGTCTCTTCTTAAAGCTACCCAAGGTCCTAGCCTCTTTTTCCCCCAAAGGGGAAAAACTGTTCCACGCATCTACAACTCTGTTAGAAAACCCAGTACTTCCCTATGTCCTTTCTAAATCAAAATTTTAAATCCAACTTACATCCATTATTTCTTGTTCTTACCTGGTTTGACACCCTCAGTAACTTTATTAAATCTCCCTTGTTTATGCCGTATCCACTTATACACTTCATGATATCTCCCCTCATTCACTCCTCTCCAGAGAGTGGAGATTTAAGGCTTTAAGTCATCTTCATACGGGAGGTTCCTTACACAGTAAATCATTTTAGCCCTTTTTTCTCTGTATGTTCTCTAATGAGTATGTCCATCCTGTAGAAGGGGACCAAAACTGAGCAGCATAATCTAAATGAGGCCTCACTAGTGATGTATGAGCTGTAAAATAACTTTTGGACTTCTGTTACTTTTACTTCTTGACATAAATCCAAGTAATCTGTTTGGGCCCTTTTTGCGACACAAGGCACTGCTGTCTTGGCTTTAGATTTCTGCTTTCAAGACTCCCAAGTCTTTTTCACATTCTGTATGATCAAGCTCTACTTCACCTAGATTATAGCTTTGAGGGTTATTTTCATTACCAAGGGCAAGTACCTTACACTTATCCAACATTGAACTTTCATTCTGCCATTTTTCAGACCAAGACATTAATTTGTCCAAATCCTCCTGGAGTTCAATGATATCCACCTCATAGTTAATTATATTTCCTATATTTGTATCATCAGCAAACTTACTGATGTCACTCGTAATCCCTTCATCAAGGTCATTAATGTAAATTATGAACAAGAGAGGGCCTAAACTGATCCTTGTGGAACGCCACTAGTGACTAATCCCCATTCAGATTTCACTCCATTAATGGTAACTCTCTGCTTTCTATTGGTAAGCCATGCCTCAATCCATGCTAGAACTTTACCTCTTTTACCATGAGCTGCCACTTTTCTAAAGAGTCTCTTGTAAGGTTACTCTATCGAAGGCTTTACTAAAATCCAAATAAACAATATAAAATCCTTATCACTGTCAACTGCCTCAAATGTTCTATTGAAGAACGTCAGTAAGTTTGTCAGGCAGGAACGACCTCGTGAATCCATGCTGAGATCATTTATCAAGTTATGCTCTTCAAAGGGGACTTCTGATAATGTCAGCTAAATTGATTCTAATAACTTGCCCACTATAGATGTCAGGCTTATTGGACGGTAATTTGAAGGAGTGGACTTATCCCCTGATTTGAATAAGGAACCACATTTGCCATTTTCCCCCCAACTCTGGCACAAAACCGGTAAGGATGGATGCATTGAAATACCTCGTTAATGGCTGACTAAGCTCCATCTTGCATTCCTTAAGTACCCTGGAAAACAGCTCATCGGGTCCCGGGGACTTATTTTGCTTCAGTTTGTCTATCTGTTTAATAACCATGTCCCTCGTGACAGTAATATTATTAACTTTAAATTCATCAGGAACTAAATAATTGTTAAATTTCGAATCTCATTTACATTTTTCCCGTGTAAAAACTGACAAAAATAGTCATTAAAAAGGAACACATTTTCCAGTTCATTATCCGTCAGCTGTCCATTCCCAATTTTCAGAGGTCCTACTTTTTCCTTCACCTTCGTCCTATACACTTGAAAGAACCCCTTTGGATTAGTCTTTGATTCATTAGCAACTCTAATTTCATAGTCACATTTAGCCTTTCTAATCCCCTTTTTTTACTTCTCTTTTAAGCTGAACATATTGGTCAGTAAGGTTAACCTCTCCTCTTCTGATGCGCCTGTAAATTTCCCTTTTCTCACCTAATGCCGGAAAAAAAATCCCCCCCCCAGTACCAACAATACCACCAGTCCGATAACATTCTTCTTTGCAAATATAC